CCAGTCCGGCACGACCGCCGTTCACCGAGGAATCGGCGGACATGAACCGCACCAACTTGTCCACGCAGGCGTCCTGATAATCGTGGATCCAACGGACGCCGTTGAAGTAGCACACGGCTCGCATGTCCTCCGGCAAGGACTCCGTTTCCGGCCACTGGAAATTGTCGATGATCGGGATGATGTTGCACCGGTTCTCCAAAGCACACACGATTTCCTGTTTCCGAGAAGACGAGGGAGAAAAAAAAAAGAAGATGCGAGGAAACTTTAGTAACTGCAGTAGGTAAGATTCTTATTTTCTCGTCCACCCAGTGTAGTAAAAAATGCTAGTAAATACTGTACTACATTTACAAATCCTACAAATCCGCACCCAGTCCTGGTCACAATAACTCGTGCATTTCCATTACGTTTTTGAATCATCGAAAACGTTTTAAATAACAATGTGAAAGAATGAAAAGCATATTTTATAAAACGAAAAAAAATTTTCCGATTCAAATTTTCATCCCTTTGATTCAAAGTTGCTTTTCTTGTAAAATTCAATTACAACGAATCTCGTCATTCAGAATTTTGATTGCACCGAATTTTTCAAAGGCCCCATCAGATTTTTTTTAGTAGAAACAAAGTTATAACATATTTTTAACAAATTAATTTTTACTTATAGTTTAAAAAATCCTTTCAACTACAGGAATCGTTTATAATTGGCAGAAAATGGCAACATCTAACTTCTACAGCCATTTAAAAAATAAATGCTAAGCTTTTTCAACTGAAAAATCATGCAGGAGTATGAAATTATGAGAAGTCCTGCTTTTTTTCATTGAAGCGAGGTTTTTTTCACAGGTCCCTGTTTGATTTCGTTGAAACGAGATTTTAACGTGCGGTATATACCAATAAACAGTACGTAATATTGAACAAATGGTTCCATTCTTTTTTTTTTTCTTGGGCTCAGGTGTTCTTTTCGAGAAATGAAACATAAATTGATCGTCTCCAGCAATTCGTGATGGAGTCAGCTAACCTTGTGAACCCAGTCCTTGCATTCCACATCATTGATGCAT